TGTGAGGTCACCACCGGATGACACTGTAGTGGTTGACAATGAGTGGACACCACGTGTCGCACAGACAGTGCTGTTCAACAAAACTATTGATTTGAGCTCTGATTTTGAAGACGACGCCACCACTGATGCCATCACTGGTGTAGACACTGACAACACCACCACCACAGCCACCACTGATATATCGGTCAATACGATGGCCGCCAGAGATCTGTTGGAAGACATTAAAAGCTCAGTCGATCGGCAACTCATGACTGATGATGAAGACACCGACGAAGACGTCATCAATGGTTCCCAAAGCCCTGAGTTATCTCCTATTCACACCTCCAGATTAAGAGCTCGTAAGACAGTGTTGGACGACACTATGGAGTCTTCGGGGACCAGCTCTTCGCCATTGACGCCATTAAACTATAGTAACAATCCATTGGATCCATTGAGTCGAGTGGACTCAAAGCACTCAATGTCTGCGAAGGACACGAGCGGTGCACTCGATCTCGATATATCTGGTCTTCAGCTCAATGATAGCGGTGACAGAGATCTTGGAGCCATCGGTGGTGTCAGTGGCGACGATACCGACGATGAATTACCGCCAATTCGTACCTTCAGAGCCCGCGAGACAATACTCGATGACACTATCGAGTCGTTGAATACCAGTTCCCCGCCATTAAGCGATGGTAACAACGAATTGATGTCCGCGAAAGACTCGAATGATGGACACTATCTCGACTTATCTGGTGCTCAGATCAACGACAGCGTCGACAGAGATCTGGTGATAGTTCCCGAAGTGTTGGACTTGGACTCCATTGGATCAGATGCTGAAGAATCAGATTCTGGACCTGAAATTGAAGAGATTCCCGAACCGAGTGTTAAACAGAAACACAATCCTTTGTTTCGGAGAGATATCCCCGACATCTTAGACACGGATGACTTGGACTCCAAGACACGGAAAGCTAACGAACGAGAAGAGCGTCGGATTGCGGAACAGAAACAAAGAATAAAAGAGTTTCACAATAATCAGAGGTTTTTATCTTAAGTTTTCTTAGTTTTAAGTGTTTAGCCTTTTGTTTAATTCATTGAAAGGTTTGTCGAGCTATCGGATGATGAGGACAATGTGGGCGCCGTTCAGCCGATGAGCCGTCGTTTGCCACAAGTGGTAAACATCGACAGCGATAGCGATGCTGAAGAGTCTGCACCACCAGTTAGGTCGACCCCTACGACTAGTTTCGAGAACTTTGAAGTAAACTTCGATACGTATGGCGTCCACACAGACGACTCGTATAACATCCCGGACGCGAGGGGTCGAGTGCTGGTCAATGTGGGACATCCCGGAGCTGAGCCCGACCTCTTCTTATCTGAACACATGGCACGTCGGGTGAAAGCCCACCAAATCGGAGGAATTCGCTTCATATACGATAGTATCGTCGAATCCATTGAGACATTCCGTAACACTAGGAAAGGGGGCTTCGGTTGCATTCTCTCACACGCTATGGGTTTGGGAAAGACGTTTCAGGTATGTGTTGACATCCCTTTCATCTCTATTAGTCTTAAAATGTTTATCTTTCAGGTGATTGCCTTCACAGACGTATTCCTGAAGGCTTTTGATGCTAAAGGACATCGATATAAGCGGGTGTTGTGTGTCGTTCCCATCAATACACTGCAGAACTGGGTGTCGGAGTTTGAGAACTGGTCGCCGCCACGGGATCGGGACTATGAGGTCTACTCAATGGACTCAACCCTTCCTCTGATCCGGAGGTCGGAAAAGGTGTTGAAATGGTGTAAAAGTGGCGGAGTTTTGCTGTTGGGATACGAAATGTTCAGAGGACTCATCAAAAGCGACGATAAGAAATATGCGGCCAAACAGTGGCGAGACTACGATCCAGAGGAACTGGAGGAAATGGATGCGAAGGTGAGGCGGGCTCTGGTAGACCCGGGACCAGATGTCGTGTTTTGCGATGAGGGCCATAGGATTAAGAACCCAAAAGCCGCCATTTCCATAGCCCTAAAACAGATTAAGACCCGACGCCGTGTGATACTCACGGGAACACCACTTCAAAACAATCTGATGGAGTACTGGTGTATGTGTGACTTCGTGCGGCCCTACCATTTGGGCAATCAGTTTGAATTCAAAAATATGTTTGAAAAGCCCATAACCAACGGCCAGTGCGTCGACTCCAATGAGTTGGATGTGCTGTTGATGAAGAAGAGGGCGTTTGTGTTACACCAGAAGGTCAAGGGTTTTGTTCAACGGTTAGTCGCACCGGTAGTTGTTTAGCTGTGTTTTCACTATTAATTATGTTTTGTTCGCATTGATAGCCGAAGTCATGAAGTCCTGAAGACAACACTTCCAAAGAAGCGCGAGTTTGTGTTGATGTGTCGCATGACACACATCCAGAAGCGACTGATGCAGGCGTTGATCGATAAGGCCATCGAAGATCCCGAAGCTATCGGCCGAGTAAAGGGAAAACTATCAGTACTGACCCTATTCTCCATCTGCACGAAGATCTGGAACCATCCGGATATCATCTATGAGATCATCGATAGGGGATTAGAGGCTCAGCGCCAGGATCTGGAAATAGATGGTCCGACTGATAGCCCGCTATTTGATCCAAACGGAAAGGCATTCACGGACTGGTCCTTCGCTGCCGATGTCGTCCTCAACTACACCACTGGAGTGATCGATAACTCTAATAAAATGGTTGTATTGTTTGAGATAATCGACGAGTGTATGAAGATTGAGGACAGACTTCTAGTCTTCAGTCAATCGCTTTTTACTCTCAACTTAATCGAAGAACTTCTGAAAATGAAAAAGGAGTGGCGTTTAGGCCGTGATTACTATCGACTCGACGGCTCAACACCACCTCAGGAAAGGGAGAGATTTATCAACCGATTCAATGGTACCACAAGAGCTCATCTGTTCCTGATATCGACTAAAGCCGGTAGTCTTGGGATCAACTTAATTGGCGCCAATCGTATCGTTGTAATGGACGCCAATTGGAACCCCAGTTGGGACGCGCAGGCGGCCTGTCGTGTCTACCGTTATGGACAGGTATGTCAGTGAATGGTTTGTTGAGTGAATAATTAATTGAATTGTTTGTCAATTCTTCAGCGAAAAGAATGCTTTATCTATCGTTTAGTCTGCGATCAAACACTGGAAGAGAAGATCTCGAAACGACAGTTTCTGAAGCAGGGTATGGCTAAGCGTGTAGTGGACGGGCAGACCATTGACCCGACGTTCTCCTGGAATGAGATCACATCGCTGTTGGAAGACTTGCAGTGTATTGAAGACATACCAGTCGTTGACTTCGATGGCGACGAGTTGGCTGAACTGGAGGACCCACTCATCCAAAATGTGTGCCGAAGTGTCGGACATGGTTTGACACGAATGCCCTTCGAGTACGACTCGCTTCTCATGGATAAGACAGAGAAGAAGTTGAATAACAACGAGAGGGCGCAGGCACTGGAAGACTATAACCACACCGTCAGACTCACCAAGTTTTTACCCCCGAAGCCCACTAACATTCCCCAGTAGGCCGTGTCTGTCATCCCTACTGTCCCGCCATTTATCTGTTTAATTGATGTCATAATTATTTTCATAATCCATTTAAATATACCAATAGTTATATAATTTTAAAGTATAATACAATAGTTTTAATCCTTTTTATTGCATTCTCTCTTATTTTTCTTATAATTATACAGTAATTAATTAGTTTACAAACAATTTATTGTATAATTTGTATTTTAAAATAAAATTCTTTAGATATTTGAGTATTCATTGAATTGTTTTTTAATAGAGATTTTGTGTTAAGTTTTTGTATTCAATGATAAGACTGTAAACTCAACGCTTTGGGAGAAGTTTGCAAAAAAGTTAATCATTTCATTAATTTTGAGCACATTTTACTCGTAATTGTGAATTGATTTGTGTTTTAATTGAATTAAATTCCACTCAAAATGGGTGACAATACAGACATTAATTTAATTAGTAGTCAAATGAAGTTAAAACTGAATTTATTGTCAAATCTAAAGGCTTTTGATAACAATTTGTGTGAAAGAGTCACTCAATTGAATGCAAACTATGTTTCACTCAATAGTCATGAATTGAATGACAAATCAATTGAATTAATAAATTGTCGAAATTTGTTGAGAATTAATGGAAATAATAATCCATTGAATGGTGAACCAGAAGAGCACCGGGAGATATAGGGATTGGATGGAGCTATGGATGAGAGTAGTGGTGAACCCGAAGTACATGTGGTGTCAGAGGAGACACAAGAAGTGCAGACTTTGGACACAGAAGTCGACGACAGAGACAAAGATGAGACGAAAGGATCGGAAGAGATGTCGGAAGCAGAAGAGGGCGGAGAGAGTGGTGTCGGAGACCAACACAAAGACACTCCAGAAGTGACAGAAGAAGGCGATGAGAAGGAAGGCATTGATAATTGTGAACCAAATGAAGGTAATGGTGCCCTTAATTCAGGTGATCAACCATTTGTGTGCTTTTGGCCCAATTGTGGCAAACGATTCACTTATAAATCACATCTCAATCGACACAAGAGTGCCGTCCATTTTTGGAGATTCATCTGTGATATCGAGGGTTGTGGTCAACGGTTTTCTCTGAAGGCTAATCTCAATCAACACAAAAGCATACACTCGGGAAGAAAGCCTTTCAAATGCAATGAAATGGATTGCGGCAAATGTTTCGCGCAAAAAGTCGGGTTAAATCGACACAATATTGCCGTTCATTTGAATGAAAAGAGATTTAAATGCAATTATAAGGGATGTGAGACACAGTTTTCATTAAAACATAATCTAATTGCTCACAAACGGGTCCACTCGGGAGAGAAGCCCTACGCTTGCGATGCATGCATTGCGACAAACGATTCTCACAGAAATCAGCGCTAATTCAACACAAAAGTAGTATTCATATGAAACTCAAATTTGTTTGTAATGAAGTTAATTGCGGTAAAGAATTCTCCCAAAAATCACATCTCAATCGACACAAACGTATTCATATATGATGGCAGCGATTGTAGCAAAAGTTTTTACATGAAATCTCATCAGGATAATCACAAACTCTTGCATTGAAAACCAATTTAAATAGTCATAAAATAGCGGTTCATTTGAAACTCAAACCATTCGCTTATATTGAAGACAATTGCGGACAAAAATTCGCCACAAAGTCATCACTCGTTAAACACAAACGCATTCATATGAGAGAGAAGACATAAGTTTGCGAACACAACGATTGCGGCAAAAGTTTCACTAATACATCAAATCTTAATCGACACAAACGACTAAAACATTTGAGAGACAATTAATTAATAATTACCGTAACTTCACATCGAAAACTAGTTACTAATAATTAGTGTGTTATGTATAACTCAATAATGTTTCAAATTCTATATAATCTCTTGAATAACTCACAAATTGTATAATGAATTGTTTTAAAGCATTGTTTAACTTTCGGTATAATTATTATAAAATAAATATAGTATTTCACTTTTCTAAATACTTTATTTAGTACTTCAGAAAGCATTAGATATCGTAATATAAGTAGTCATTAGTTATTATCACTACAAAATAGTTTCCCTCAATAAACAAAACAAAAAAGTATTTCAATATTACATGCAATTCAGTGATAACTCGTCAATGAATTGTATTTCATAACTGATTTACTCAATAAATGTATAATTACTGTTAGTTTTCATCCAAAGGCAATACAATATGGATTATATGGATGAAAGTCACCCATTGATTGGAGTGGAAGACAATTGTTCAGAGTATGACAGCATTGAACAGGTAATGTATTTATTGTCCAGTATATTCACTAAATCTGATGATTAGATTACATTGTGTTATAAAATATCATATAAATACAATTGTTTTTGTTTGCTAATATAATTAGCACACTATAACTGTTAAACAATATTGTGCCAGTTTTGTGTTTTTATAAAAGTTATCTAAGAGTACTAGCTAGATTTTTATAAGCTAATTATAGATAATTTTTATAATTATATGATATGATTCATAATGTTTAAAATTCAATTTGCATCCTAGTGATTATTTAATGATTTATAAAGTAGTGTAGTACTGTATTATTGTGAAACTGATTACAGTGGAAATTGATATCTAATTTCTTGTGACAAATCAGTTAACACTAGAATTGGACAGAAGTAGTAATAACAGCAACGGATCCAACAATAATGATAGACGGAGTCAGTCGTCCGTCTCGCAGTCAATGGCCATCTCATGGCATAACATACGGGTGTCGAGTAGGCCGTCCAACATGTTTAAACGCTTCCGTAAATCTAGTACTGAACCCACAGAGATCCTCAAGAATGGTATGTCATTACAAATGATTAGAACTTATGATATAAATAATGTCCTAATCATTAGTTTCGGGTGAAGTGAGTGCCGGCCAACTATTAGCTATAATGGGTTCGAGGTATGACTGTATTTGGGAACTACATGTGATTTTTGTGATTAAATATTTAATTATTCTGTGAATTCTTGTATGGATTCAGTGGCGCCGGAAAGACAACTCTATTGAATGTATTGACGGCAAGGAATCTGTCGAAACTGGTTGTCTGTGGGGATGTCCTATTGAATGGAGAGGTAGTCGATGCAAATACCATAACTTCTATCTCGGCGTATGTCCAGCAACAGGATCTATTTGTACCCGTGTTGACAGTTAGGGAACACCTAATATTTCATGTAATTATTACTCATTTGAATTTAAATTTGATTTCAATATTAATTTTAATCATAATAACAGTCATTATTACGAATGGATCCAAATTTGCCTCAAAAAGAGAGAACAGATCGCGTGAATGAAGTGATTCTTAGGGTATAGTAATTCACAAATACATACCGTTCCTCATGTTTATTAACGGATAATTATTTTATGATTGAAATTGAAGTTTAGTTTAACGAAGTGTGCGAACACTCGGATCGGAAGCAGTACTACATTTAAGGGCATATCTGGCGGTGAATCCAAACGACTGGCCTTTGCATCCGAGGTATTCATACATTTGCTGTGAAATTCTGTTCACTATATTCTGTTTTACAGTATTTGACGGATCCGTCGATTATGTTTTGGTGAGTGCGAGGGAACGGTAGCATAATTTAAGAGATTGTATGTTAATTATTTAATTCAATTTATATGTATTAGTGATGAGCCGACCAGTGGTTTGGACTCATTTATGGCCCAAAGTATAGTCCAAGAGTTGAAGTCTATGGCATCGGAGGGTCGCACCGTTATCTGTACTATACATCAGCCCTCGTCTCAAGTGTTTGAACTTTTTGAACATTTATTACTATTAGCCGATGGAAGGGTAGCTTTCATGGGAAAGACTGGTAACTAAATTCACATTAACTTAATATGCAATTGATTTGAAATTTGAAATCATACGACAGATGAGGCAATGGATTACTTCTCATCACTTGGATATGTAATGCAAAAAAATTAATGATTTTTCGATTGAATTTAAATTATTTTTTATACTCAAATACTTTTAACAGCAATGTCCACCTAATTTCAACCCTGCTGACTTCTATATCGAACAATTAGGTGATAATTACTACCATTAATGTTCTACATACCATGCTTATAATAAATATAATCCAAATATACTGTAGCTATAATTCCCGGGCAAGAAATTATATGCAAAAACAATATCAAGGTAAATTTATTCAAATAATCATTATTAAATAATCAGTATTAATAATTACAATTTTGTATGTTTTGTATCATTTAAATGATAGCATATATGCGATAAATTTGCTAATAAATTGTCGGATACTTTGTCGGACACCACGGATATGGTGAGCGCCGCCCTATTCATGGATTCATTCAGTGTATTTGAACGCAAATCCGCACTAAACGGACACAAATACCGGACATCCATTTGGCGACAATTGTGGACATTGTTATGGCGATCAAAAAAGTTCATTTTAAGAGACACCGAGTTTAGGTGGATGTTTGTGATCGTGGTATTTATTATTGATTAGCTTTATCATTGTTTTTAATTTACAAATACAAGTAATGTTAACTAATTTACTGATTATTTCATACCATAAGCCAATTGCAATATTCTTGGGATCAGTGTATTGGAAACAACAGGTGAACCAAAGGTCCATAAGAAATATAAACGCGGCACTTTTTGTTTTGGTTATGAATATGACTATTCAGAGCGCTATGGCTGTCATTAATGTAAGAATTACCTTGTTCATTATTTGTGATATGTATGATATTAAATGGGAATATTCTGTAGACATTCTGTGCGGAACAGCCATTATTTCTGAGGGAACACCACAACGGCATGTATAGAGTGGG